ATATATATATATATATATATATATATATATATATATATATATATATATATATATATATATATATATATATATATATATATATATATATATATATATATATATATATATTCTTTTTAATGTACATGGCCAAGACCAAGTTCAATATTGCTAGCCAATAATTAAAGAGTGCTGCTATTTCCACCTCCAAATTATCTTTATTCACCCCCAAATTATATAAAATAACTTAAATACTCTTCACATTTCTAATCCGCCGCCCTCTCTTATATACGCTTAATCCTCATTTATTTTTATTTTTTTTTCCTTATTTTTTTTCAATGAAACTTATATTTGTAAAACAAAATTCCAACAATCGTCCAACTAAATCAGATTATGGGCATATTGTGCTGAGTGAAAAGTAACATGTTTTTAAAATTTTAATCCACTGAAAATCTTTGTTTCTTTTTTTCTTTTTCTACAAGAGCGTTCTTAATTTATTTTTTCAAGAACGTGAATTCCTACTCTTTCTCACCTTTGGGTGTTTTATCTCCGACGAAAGTATCATTTACTTAAGGTGGAGATGGTGGGATTATGTGGTAAATATTCTCGTGGAAAATGGTAGGGTTTTTTGGTGAATATTCTAACTAGTAATTGTACCAGTGTGATGCATGGGACAACAAATTGCATTATTTTGATGTTGTAAGAATATAAACAGACGTTTGATGAAAACGCAAATAACTTTACTGTTGAATAATTTTCCAAATGAATTGAATCAGCTAATACCAGTAGATTGAAAAATTGAACCAGGAACAAAATCATCAACTATGTCTTTCATGTTGAGCTTAAAAGTAATTATATTTAATAACTTAGTTAACCTATTCAAAACTAAACTATCGCCAACATACCAACGTAAAAGGCCATCTATACATCTTGGATCGTAATTAAGCCATTTTCTACTGCCTCGTTTTGGTCTTGTTTTGCCACTGGAATTAACAATTGGAAAATTAAGAAACAAAAATAAATATAAACAATAAATAAAATATCGCATACAAACAATAAGTCTTGAAGGCCGACTTCCAATAGCTTGTGGCTCCGCCCATTTTTGCTTAGTTCTCTCCAATCATCCATTTTAATAACATGTCCAATAACACCTAAAGGGAAATAATTGTTATACACAAAATTTGAAATCTGTAAATTAATGAAACACGTAATTTAACAAAATGAAATTACCTATAAGCCATGATGGAAAAAGATGCAAACTAATTAATTACCACACGTCAATAGGAAGAAGAAGAAAATAAGACAAAACTTCTAAAGTCGGGATACCAAAAGAAGAAGTCTTAGATAAGATGAAGAAATAAAATTCAAATGTAGCAGAAATTTTGTAGAACAATGTCAAAAAATCCGATAGGGATGAAAATCTGATTTATATGCCCTTAAATATCGAAAATCAGATTTATTATGAACTATGAAGAGAAAACAAATTGCAAAATAGCTAACCTTTTACATTTAGTAGAAACGGGGACAGATAAAACTGGGGTGGAGAAGTTGAGAGGGGAGATATAAATAATAAGAGAAAACACAAACGTGTTAAAGTGGAAGACAGAAGTTTAAAGTGTTGAGAGTCTTAAGGGAAGTCTTTGGGAATCGTCCACCTTTTGGAATATGATTGTTAGTATTTTATTATCAAAAAATAATATTTAGTGTTGAGATGTTTATGGCTGAAAATTAGGAGATAAAATAACATTTGAGAGATTTTATTGTTTGTGCATTAGAGATATTTAAGGCTGAAAATAAGAATGATTGGGCTGGTTTGGGCATAAAAAAATGATAAAAATTTTATAAAAATCAAAAATATTATTTAGGAGACAAAATTTTTATAAAAATCGAAAATAATATTTAAGAGGTATTTGTTTTTATAAGACTCGAAAACAATATCTAAAATAATATTTAGGAGATATAAATTTGATAAATATTGAAAATAATATTTACGATTTTAAATATTTGATAAATTTGAAAATAATATTTAGGAGAACGAGTAATCGGCCGCCTCGGCTGATTTGTAGAACACTATATATATATATATATATATATATATATATATATATATATATATATATATATATATATATATATATATATATACACGACCCCGTTTCTCCCTCACCTCCAATCACCATCGCCCGTTCATTTTCCTTTGCATATATTTTTCAACTTTAAATCTTCCTGCTTAACCTGCTTCGTTTTTATTTTATTCTCCATTTTCTTTTGTTCTTCTCTTTTTTTCCGACAATTGTTGACTGCCAACCGCCGCCAGTTCCTCCGACGACTCTGCAGCCCTCTCTCTCAATTCGAGACCGTCGCCCCTTTACTGGGTGATTCGCTTCCTCTGAACCCAATCGGAATCTCAAACTCTTGATAGTGTACTACCACGTGGAGGGCCTCGCCCGCCGAATGAAGCGTGTGCGGCATCGACGCCGTGCTCTACCGGGTGCCCCAAACCCTTCCCAATGAAGTCCTCGCCAAAATGCCTGGCCCCACAGAAGGAAGATTCGATTCCCGTACTCGGTTCTCCGGAGGATTTGACCGGCGCCGATGGGTTTCTCTTCGGGTTTCTGACGAGGTACGGGTCCATGGCTGCGCAAATGAAGCCTTTCTTTGATTCGACTGTGAAGCTATGGAGGGAGCAAAAACTCGCCGGAAAACAAGCCGGATTTTTTGTCAGCACCGGCACTCTAGGCGACGACCAATGGACCACTGCGTAAGGCCCCCTTACTGTTGTTGCTCTTATTATTTTCTTGGTTTTCATACTCGATATATGTTCGGTTTCAATATTAACGTTTGATGCAAGAATTAGCCTTTGATTGATTGAGTTTCCATGGATACAAATGCAAGAAATGCGTATATTGAGTTTCTTTAAAATATTTGCAAATTAGTAATGTGAATTCTAAATAAGATGCACGATTGATGATGGTGGGTTTTTTATTAGTCAACTTTTCTAAGTTTTCTGCTAAACTGATTTTCGTAATTCCTAAAGTAAATTTCTTTCGGGGACTTATTTACCAAATAAGGGGATAGCGTTTGAACAAAACAAGTGGGAATCTTCGTTCGGTGACTACGGTCTATCATGGAAGAGCAATCAATCTCTATGTTGTTATGCAGCTTATGTTGGCAAGAAATTAAGAATTTTAACGTAAAGATTGATGACTTTTAGTGTGAACAACGTGTTCCACTCGTATGTTATATCTCGTTTTGAAACCAATTAGTAATAAATAATAGGGTAAATTACAAACACCCCCCTGAGGTATGGTCAAATTACAAAAACACCCCTCTTGTTTGGATAATTACAACCACCCCCTCAACTCCTCAAATTTAGTGGAATCTTCAAGATTATGTGGAATATTACCACTTTTGTAACCGTTTTATCCCATTCGAACTCTACATTATGAAGCAAGATGATCATAATATGTGTTTTTTAGCTTGTATATATAAGTTTGTGGTGCATCAGAAACTGTATTTCTACACAAAAAGAATACAAACTATAGCACATTCCACGGAATCTAGATGATTATGTTGAATTTGAGACCATAAGGGTGGAGGTGTAAGAAAAAAATCATAGCTGAGGGGGTAGATGTAATTATCCAAACAAAAGGGGTGTTTTTGTAATTTGATCATACCTCAGGGGGTGTTTGTAATTTACCCTAAATAATAATAGTGGAGGTATAAGAATCTAAAACAGCTGTTATGTTTTTACCTCTAATCTGCTGCATCTTCTTAATTTTAGCTTCATCGACCCTAATTAGTAGTAGAATCACAATTACGAACATATCAAAGTGCATTAGAACTCGTGTTTTTTCATCATCCATTCTTCTCTTCACTATTGGTGTTTGTTTGATGGGAGTCATGAATGATGAGATCGAGTAACGTGTTTATGGAAACATATTTCTTTGACCACCGAAGCATAATGTACAATCACAAGAAATATACACGAACCCCACATTGTTTTTAAAGGCATTTCTGTGCCGTTGTTTTATATATTATTTGGTAGGGGTGAACGCGGGCGGGTTTGGGCGGGTTTTCGTAAAAAAATCAATCCGACCCGACGCCGGTGGGTTACCAATTTTGCCAACCGCATCTGCTTATTTAAAACCACAAACCGCACGGTTCGGGTGTAGCGGGTTACGGGCGGGTGGCGGGCGGGTTAGCGGGTCGAAAAAATACGCAATACCAACAAATGCATTGACAAAATTTAAGGAAATCTCATGAAAACATTCCTTGGAGACTGCAATTCTTCAAAAAAAAAAAAACATTCATTCCCTATCAATCCATTTTGGTGGAACAAATCCTACATTACAAAAACCTAATTCAAAGGCGTATCCTTTCTCCAATTAAACTTGAAAGATTCAAGAATTTATTTTTGGGTAGATTTGGTTATCCCGTTTCTCTGTGTTTTAGTGTTTTATTCCCGGTGTATTACGAATCGGATGAGAAATGGGGGAAGAAGGGGTAGCTGAACACTAAAACATAGATTTACATGTTATTTAATATAAATATATGATGATTGATGCGGGCGGGTCGGGCGGGCCACGGGTTTTAATTGTCAAACCCGAAACCCGACCCACACCATGCGGGTTACCATAACACCAAACTGCCAGCAATATTTTAATATGCAAAACTGGCGGGTAGCGGGCGGATCGGCTCGGGTCGGGCGGGTGGGTCGGGTTTGGCGGGTTTATGTTCACCCCTATTATTTGGCCTCGTTTGGTTGGTATAGTCACGGTTAATCAAATAATTGGACCGTATTGGATGTATGCTTAGTCCATCAACTTTTCAAGCCAACCCACAATTGTGATTAACCAAACGATGTCTTTTCACTTTCGGTTTACAATTCAATGATTGGCTGAACTTCTTAGTTAACGGTTAACGGTAGATCACTCTTTTAGTTTTGTTGTTTGCTGTACATCTTTGTTGTCTCTTTGATGAAACAGGGTCCTCGTATGTAATCATAAGATGATAAAAACGAACATGTGTTTCGTCAGATGATAAAATTTGATTCAATTCTCACGTTAACCGATTTAGGTGAACTGCAATTACTCAACTAGCAGATACCGAATGCTTTTTGTTCCGATTGGATATACTTTTGGAGCAGGTATTTTTAAAATGGATTCGATAAGAGGTGGCTCTCTGTACGGTGCTGAAGTTTATGCAGGTGATGGAACAAGGGAACGGTAATAAGAGGAAAAGGAAGGTGTTGGATAATGATAGCCAGTCTCTTCTGCAGCTTGCTTTTGATGTTGTCAAGGATATTACCGGTATTGAACATCTCTCATTATCCATTATCAAGAATTACTATTACGTGTAATAATTCTCGATTGCTTTAATCTATGGAGCCGTTTTTGACGGAATTGTTATAGCTGATGTTCCTTTTAGGAGGGCAGAATCGAAGTATAGTGTTAAACAAGTAGGTGTAACCGTCGAGTTTTATGGCGGCGAACTCAATGTAGTCAGTTAAGGGAAATCGAAATAAAAAATGTGACAATGTGGATTATGCCAAAAAGGGTTTATTACCGAATAGTGGGAAAAAAATCTCAAAATGCATAAACAAATGGAACTCCGAGTGGATGTCCCAAGATTTCACCGATTATTAGTGGGATTGCTGTAAAAGATAATTGACTTGTTCGAGACGACGAATAATACGGAAGTGACAAACGTGCAGGATTCGGAGGATTTGCAGAATGGCTTGGCAATTCTTTATCGGAAAAGGCAACAACTGGTAATTTTTTTTTTCGAGTTTAAATGGATTAAATTTATAATGTAATAAGTATCGTGTCGTGATTTAAATTTGTCGCGGCAGTGTTCTCAAATCTGGACTATGGAAGATGAGTATGCGTTATATGAAGATCACATTAAACGAATAAGGGACCATACGCCATTTTTTCGCAGTCTTTTTTATCTTTTGTTGATTTTGCTTCTTTTTTTTTTTTTAAGAAAATAAATAAATTGAAATTTGTATATTTCGATAGGTGGTGAAGTTGGTTTAGCTCATAAATGTATTGAATCAATCCTAACTGTGAAGAGTCATTTGCAGCTGAAGAATGAAAATCACGACAACCGTAAATCCACAAAGCAAACAAAGTCACCTGACATTTTCTCCCGGGTAGATCTTCATGTCAGGTAAGTTATTATGTTCCTATATAAATTTGTTTCTTTTTTATTTTATTTTTAAATAAATAAATAATTAAATTAAAAAATGTGTATTATTTTCTCAGGACTTGGAGTATATGTGTGAAGAATTATTGGAGGCTGCCGAAATATTTTGTCGCGCCACCAAATGGTAACAGTAACACGATAAATTTCGTTCTTTTTTCTCAAAAAATTAAGCTGATGAATTCGTGTGATACATATTATATCGATTTTTAGGTTGCATTTTTTTATCTTTTTTTTACGATTACGTAAATTTGTGTGGAGTGTGGCGATGGGAAGTGACGATTTGAAGTTGTCTACGGAAGGTGGTGTGGGGTCCACTCCCTCAGAAGCAAGGGAATTTGTTGTTGCACAAATGATTGTCAAAATAAAAACTCGTTTCTGTGTTAAGGAAAGCTGATTAATCAAGAGTTAATTTTCTGCCTTCCGTTAAAGGCTACCTGAATGACGGAGCTGCGATGCGAAATAGGCAATGGCGGAAATGCGTGGCTTCTAAACTGACTGGGTGAAAGGAAAGGCGCCCGAGAGCTGATTAACGGGGTTTTTTTTTTTAATTCGCGTTTTTTGTTAAGTTTTAAGCACATTAACTATAAATTTAGAGCCTTTTGGGGATTATACAGTATAACATTGTGCATTCGCATCATCAACCTCGTCCTAATAATTGATCAATGCGTGCAAATATGACGACTGGGCACCGCGCCTTGCGTGGTGTTCCGTACCTAGTATATATATATATATATATATATATATATATATATATATATGGGTAAATTACAAACACCCCCCTGAGGTATGACCAAATTACAAAAACACCCCTCTTGTTTGGATAATTACAACCACCCCCCTCAACTCATCAAATTTAGTGGAATCTTCGAGATTATATGGAATATTATCACTTTTGTACCCGTTTTATCCCATTCAAACTCTACATTATGAAGCAAGATGACCATAATATGTGATTTTTAGCTTGTATGTATCAGTTTGTGGTGCAACGAAAACTGTATTTTTTACACAAAGAGTACAAACTAGAGCACATTTCACGGAATCTAGATGACTATGTTGAATTTGGCACCATAAAGGTAAGAAAAAATCATAGTTGAGGGGGATAGATGTAATTATCCAAACAAGAGGGATTTTTTTGTAATTTAACCATACCTCAGGGGGGTATTTGTAATTTACCCTATATATATATATATATATATATATATATATATATATAGAGAGAGAGAGAGAGATATATATATATATATATATATATTTAAATTTAATTAAATATTTATATATTTATAAAAATTTATATGAGTTTGGGTCCATAAATGTGTATATATATATATATATATATATATATATATATATATATATATATATATATATATATATATATATATATATATATATATATATATATATATATATATATATATATATATATATATATATATATATATATATATATAATACTCAAGTAATAGTGTGAAATCACGTGATATATAATATATCAACAAATACCATATATATAGCATGACCATTAATGGTGAAACTAAATGATACTCCTATAGCAGTTAACCTTTTAACTAGCTCAACCTTCAAATTAATTTCTTATATAACCCAAATTAAAAAAAATATATATATTAATTAATTAATTAATTAGTTAGGGTTGTAATAAAGTCATCGATAATACCCTCCAAAACAGCATCTCCAATCAGCATGGAAAGATCCTCTTTGTGTTGCTCAGAGTCAGCAGTACTCCACTCTTGTAATGAAGATTCCATAAAATCATATCTCAGCAACTGGATAATGCTGTTTTCATCTATTGAATCTTTGCTCCAAATCCACACATTTTCGCACACGAGTTTCCATAGCTCGTCGATTTCGAATATTTTCCCGTCTTTTTTCCGATATTTTTTTATTACTTCTCTCACATAATCAAGCAGGAGCTGCTTATTTTGCTGCAAGGCTCTCTTGTTTATAATAACTGGCTGTAAGAATTCGAAACATCCACGAGTTCTTGCAACTCTTCTTCGACACTAGTGTAGTAATATTGTGTCGTCTCCGCTTTGACTTGAATTGCGAAAACGAGGTAGTTGAAGATTCCCCTTCTGTAGAATTTGTCCCAAATGAATAAATAAATAAAGCTGCTTTAGTTTTTATTTTTAATTTTTATTTATGTAAACAGACTATAGACAATTAATAAAACCTCTATAAATTAATACAGCTCCGACTAGGAACATTCTCTTAATTTAGCGGAATACTAATTATCGAATTAATCATTCAGCACATTCTCGCTAAGATGGGACAAGAAGAATTTATTATTTAAACGAGGTTATTATATTAACTTATCGAGATTCTACCGTACGAACGAAGATTCTTGAAAAAAATATACTCACTGTCATGAAATGGTGAGCCCTCTTTTGTTTCTTGAAGAATTGAGACAGGACAGAGTTTTTTATTACAATCTTCCATATATCTCCATTTCAACTTTCTCTCAGCATCAACATGTTAGCTTTAAAAAAAGTCAAAAAACTAATTAATCGAATTTTTAAACCTCGCCACATATATAAATTTCACTAAGCTCTCTAAATTAAAATAAACAAACTAAGTGGTTAAAAAAAATAATAAAAAGTAAAAGATAAAAAAATCTACCTCTACTTGAGAACAATGTGCATCGTCTCCGACATCACTCTCCGAGCAAGAATCGAACACGGTAGTTCCGCTTATGGAGGATAAATAATATTTATCCTCCTCATTTGCATGTTGTTTTTCACGAGTGTTACTATTTTTTCGACCACCGTTATTTCCACGATTCTTGATGTTATGATTAGTAGTAATGTTGTGCAACAGTATGAACCCAGGGCCGTTCCTGAGAATTCGGGGGCCCTAGGCGAGGTTTAAAGAACAACTGAAAACGGGGCCCGTATTTGATAAACCATTTTTTTTTATTAAAGGGTGTTCGAAATTGAATGTGCTAAAAAATATAAATAATATTTTCTAAAAATGATGAAATAAAAGATTATGGGGGTTCGGGGGCAGTGCCCCTGAAATATTTTTTGAAATGTATGAATATAAAATATCTAAAAATATGGAAAAAAAAATTAAAATTAACAATATGATTTGCTGATTCACTTCCTTCCGTGACGTATAATATTTATATCAAATAAACTATATAAATATTTCGAAACTTGAATACACTAATGAATGATTGATTCTTATTTTAGAATAAAAATAAGTATATAAGACATTATAAATTTGATATTTATGGACCCCAAGGTTAAAAAAATTGCAAAAATATCTAGTGATCATTTAATTTAAATATATTTTAGAACTGATGTTCCAAGATACTATATACAATAAATTTTTAAAATAAATACTAATATATAAAGTGTATATAAGATAATTTGGTGGCCCTAAATTTTCGTAAAAAATCGGGGACCCTAGGCGACCACCTACTTCGCCTTCCCTCAGAACCGGCCCTGTACGAACCTGCCGCACACCGCTCTAACGAATTCCGAGCATTTCGGAACGATTTCCCGTCTCTTCCTTAAGCCGAGGCTGGCCGATTTCTTCAAGAATCGAGCCGAATTTCGAAGAGCGGAACTTGTTGTACTACCTTTGGAGTAGCCTCTTTCGAGAAGGTAATTATCCAAGGCAAATGGTTCTTGTTGCTCTTGAAGAAATTCCACTAGCAATTTAGACATGTTTTCGGGTGTTTTTTTAATAAGAGAATAAATATTGCTGGGTTTATAAAGTTGTAAGAGATAAGGGGGTTTTTGTTTGGTGACTGAACAATGGCACAACCTAAAGCCCAGAGACATATATTTTGAGGGTATAAGCAGATTTTGCAGTGTTTCGAGTTTTTGGCCTTTACAATGTAATGACAAAAATATAAATATAAATATAAATGAATATAATAAAAACAATTTATATATTTTGAGACAAAATCATATGAGGGTCGCGCATTAATGGACCTTATTTTATGGTTGCACTTGCATGTGTGTGTTTGTGCCAGTGGCGGATCTAGAACGAAAATTCAGGGTATGCCGGCTGTGCCAAGTTCAAGAATTTACTGTATAGTGGGGTTAAATTTTTGGGGGTTCAGGGGAAGCGCCCCCGAAAAAAAAAAATTTGAACCTTTTTTTGTTGGATAAATTAGGAGGAGGGAAAAAAAATTGAAACTTTTTTTTTTTTTGTTGGATAAATTAGGAGAAGAAAAAATTTGGGACTTTTTTTGTATATTTTGAATTTTGGGTGGACTAAATAATAATATAGATATAATATAATGCGTTTTTGGGGAGAGGGGCTAAAAAAACAAAAAAATATTTAGGACTTTTTTTGTATATTTTGAATTTTGGGTGGAGTAAATAATAATATAGATATAATATAATGCGTTTTTGGGGAGAGAGGCTAAAAGAACAAGAAAAAATTTAGGACTTTTTTTGTATATTTTGAATTTTTGGGTGGACTAAATAATAATATAGATATAATATATTGTGTTTTTGGGGAGAGGGGCTAAAAAACAAAGAAAAAAGTTAGGACTTTTTTTGTATATTTTGAATTTTGGGTGGACTAAATAGTAATATAGATATAAGATAATGTGTTCATGGGAGAGGGGCTCAAAAGAAATTTAGCCAGAAAAATTAAACAATACTTTTTTGTTGCAAAATGGAGTTGAACTCATGACCTTATTTAACAACTTGGAGATCTTTGCCACCAAGGCAAATTTATTTTCGTTATTTGTGATGGTCCATGGCATACTTGGCCACCCTCTAGATCCGGCCCTGGTTTGTGCTAGGGGTGGCAATTTGGATCCGGTTCCATGGATCCGATTATATCCGGTTCGATCCACAAGGATATAGTTTAGATTAAATCTAGTTGAAACAAATCGGATCGGATATAGTTGGATTTTTTTTAAAACTAGATCCATATGGATCCACTTTAGATCCATTGAAAGTTCAACTAAAAATGAAGTGGGTCATATTGGACACTTTACATCCATTCAAAGTTCAACTAAAAATAAAGTGGGTCATATTAGTGAAACATTTTCAACCCTAATTAGAGAGGAATATATAATATATATATATATATATATATATATATATATATATATATATATATATATATATATATATATATATATATATATAGAGGATGTCTAACTGTATCTATATAATATATATATATATATATATATTGATATACCTAAATGGGCCGACCCAATGGGCTCTCAAATTTATCTACTAATTAAGCTCACTACACGAAAGCCTAAACACCTTTAAAGTAAGGCTTGGGCCCAACAAATTAAGCAAAACCGAATCACCGATATATAAATAGACGTTTTACTCATTTGTTAAGGTACGTTTTCATTATTCACCATCAAGCTAGAGTTTGATCCTCTCTACCATCTCCGCAATCCGTATATCTGACTTGAGCGTCGGAGGGGTTTCCGCCGGATCAACCCCCGGCGTAGTTCACGTGTGTTCATTTTGCAGGGACCTCAGGATCATCAAGTTGT